AAAAAACCATGAAGATGTCAACTGCCATTCTCCTTACATGTGTCCTATTGTTAGCCAAAGTGGCTTGACCTTCTGTAATGTGACACGCAAGAGGCGAAGTAATGCAACAAGACAAATCATACAGGGCAGTGCCACACAGCTGATATATGACACATTTCCTTCAAGCCAAACACAGCTTTTAGCTTTTAGCAAAGGTAGTACTTTAAAAGTCACTTATCTTTCTTCTTGTCTTCAAACATTTTGACTGCTCTAAGAGAAGTGTGTGTGTGTAGGGGGTGGGAGAACAATACATCCTTGTTGTGTGTCAAAGGGAAAGGAAGAATGAAGGAATTCTCAAAACAAACTTCAGATCAACATCACTGCCAATTATAGGCAAGGAATTAATAAGAAAAAAGGCACCATTTCAGATATCAGCATGACACTGCATTTGACGAGTTCAACTGCCTGCCCATATTTAAATTAAGCAAAATAAATTGCTAAAGAGCTCTTTATTTGCTTACATATAGCATTATGGTTTAGGAGGGAAATTGTTTTGAGTTGGAGGAAGCTGGAGAATAGATTGATATAGAAATGTAGCCATATTTACAAAGAATAGAATAAAATCAAATAGAATAGAATAGAATAGAATAGAANTGAGCCGGTGAGATTTGAACCGCTGAACTGCTGATCTAGCAGTCAGCTGAAGTAGCCTGCAGTGCTGCATTTAACCACCGCGCCACCTCGGCTCTTGATGGCAGTGTTCCAGTATTTAAGGAGCAGCCACAAAGAAGAGGTCAGCCTATTTTCCAAAGCACCAGAAGGCAAGACAAGAAGCAATGGATGGAAACTAATCAAGGAGAAAAGCAACCTAGAACTAAGGAGACAATAAGAACAATAAACCAGTGGAACAGCTTGCCTTCAGACATTGTGGGTGCTTCATCACTTGAGGCTTTTAAAAAGAGACTGGAGAACCACTTGTCTAGAATATTATAGGGTTCCTGCTTCAGCAGGAGGTTGGATTAGAAGACTTCCAAGGTCTCTTCCGACTCTGTTATTCTGTTACTCTGAAAGCATCCAGTCTCTGATTCACAACTATCATAGTCTCTGTTTGACAATATGCTGGTTTACTTTCCCTTAAATAATTTTATGGGATCAGTTAACTTTAACAATAGATTACCTTCTTTTATGCAGAATTTTAATTGGCAAACATTTAATTAAATGTTTTCCCCAGTGTTCTTATGACTTTTATTTCGTCCATGAAGACTTCCTTGTTGGTTAGTATCAAGTCAATGATTTGTATCTTTCTCTACCCTCTGAAGAAGAAGGCCATTAGCAAAAGAAATCAATAATTTCCTGGGAAGACAATGCTTGACCTAGTTTGTTATCCAACAAATGCTAGGAAAATTAAAGTCCCCATCGCTACCATCCCATGTCTTTTTGAAAGAAGAGCAATTTGCTTCTGAAAAGCATCATCCCCATCTTCTCCTTGATTAGGCAGGTGATAGTCTACTGCTTTTATTCATGCCTCCATATATTTTAACCAAGATGCTTTTTAGAGCATCACCAAATAAATTCATTCACTTCAATTTCTATACAAGCATGGATACATTTATTTGCCATACCATTCTTTTTTCCTTCCATTGCTATATTCCAGTCATGGAGGTCATCCCATTAGCTTTCTGTTATATGTATGTTAAATAATAGGTACTATAAAATGCATGAATATTATGAGCCAATCTTTCTGGCTTTTTATTTAATGGTTTACTAGGACACATTTCAATGTCCTTCCTTATTTTTAGTGTACAAATCATTATATGATATCGATACTATATATTTATTCTCTAATTCCCCACAGGATTCAGTTTATCAAGCTCATCAGTTTTAGGCAAACACATTTTTTCCAGACATTCTAAGATATAATCCATCTTGTGCCAAGAAACATGATGCTGATGCTGATCATCAAGTTTATGATCTAAGAAATCAAATGTAACATAACTTGCACAGCCAGTCATTCCTTGGCAATATTCTTCTTTCTGTTTACAGTCCTTCCCCCCACCTTCCTTCCTAGATGTTTGATGTCCCTAATGATGTAAATTGTAGCACTTTTTAGCAACCTCCACACTGATTAGCAGGAAGTAATAATTGTTAGCAGATTTGTTAACCCATGGAAGTTATTCTGCTGCATTCTGATCCACACCTTGCTCCAATGAAATTAAAGTCTAGGCAATGCACATTTATTTTAGTTTCTCAGAACTGTGAATTGTGTATGATCTTCCACCCTGCTTCCTGTTCAGTGATATTCTTTTTTCCCTTTGAAGATTCTGACTTATTTCTTTAGTTCCGATGACCCATCATATTTCAATGTAATATATAGTTCAGTTCCTACTTTGCATTGATCCCCACCAACTCATTATACTCACATTGAATACTGTAATCTTTTCTCCATCCTTTTTTTCTGAAAAGAAAACGGGATGTCAGAAGAAGCTTTTCATCACCCAGGAATATTTATAGAGATTCTTCAAAGTTCTTTTCTGCTTGAAGAAAGTCTACCAAGAGATTAATAGAAAAATCATGAAACTCTGATTAGCTGTTTGATCAACAAACAGTAGATAGTAATAGCAATAACAGACTTATATACCACTTCATAGTGCTTTTACAGCCCTCTGTAAGTGGTTAGATGCATGCATGGTAGATACAGACATGCAGTCACTGTTCTGTATAGTAGGAATTTTGCATGGAGTCCTTCAGGGTCTCCGAGGAAAAAGCTCAACAACCAAGGACCGAGAGCACCAAAGTGCTTGATAGTTCAACCTTGTGCTACATATATTCTCTTCTACTGGAAGAATTTTATGTGAAATGACTCACTAGCCTGGCAACCCATAGATGAATGTGGATTGCATTTGTCAGGACTCCTTAGACTAAAATTCATCTGTAATTCTGTTTCCCAAGTTTACATGATTTCACTTGGTTGCCAACCTCAGATTTGCCTGAAATCTCTTTGATGTGTCAAAATTGTATTGAGAGGGAAAGAGTTCCAAGATTCAAATTTTGGACCTCCTCTTCCTATATCTTGGCCACTCTTTTCTCAGGCTTGATGTTCTCTGCCATGTCATCTAGCCCTTGTGTGCCAATGGTTTTCCTGAGCATGAAAATCAGAAATTCTTATTTCATCAACTTCAACCATTTTGTTATTAAACAATTGTTCGCCCTTAGTCAATGTAAAGGTATAGTTCCCTTCTTTACAACCATGGCAGGTTAAATCCATTGCTTTTTCTCTGTACCTTTCTCACATTTTGGTGGAGACTGAATTTAGAAACCAGCAATGGCTGATTCTTTGCATAAGGAGAGTTACTGACTTTTCAGAGAGAGAGAAATCAGGAGCCAGTAGTAACTATAGATGGAAGGATCTGTAAGTCTTAGAATTGGAAGGAGCCTTTTCAGCCATTCATTCCAACTCCCTGCAGACATGTTCCTTTTGTGTATTTCTTTAATTTAATTTAGGCTCCTCCAAGTAATTGCATTCTTGGACCAAATATATCTTCGTAAATACTGACATTTTAGATTGTAACTAAAGAAAGAAAAAGCGTGTAAATGTCTTTAATGTGCATGGTTATTTTTCAGCCAAATCAGTTTACATATGAAAAACCACCATAGAAGTGGCATTTGAGTAGCTCAATCGCTGGGCAGATTAAAGTGAAAATACCTTGCAATTAAACTGCTAGGTTGCTATTATCACTACTTTCACCCAATTGCCAAAATAAAAATTCTCATTTTCTTCAGGGGTGCAACGAATGATAATTACTCTAATAAATATATCTGCCAAGTTTGAGAAACAATGGCTGAATCTATCATGGTTGAAGTAGTTCTCCTACACTTGATAATCTACCAGCCACTAACCTATGTAGCAATCAGTCTTGGTCAGTGTAAAATGATTTCTCCCTGTAGTCTCAAAAAGTAAATGTAGACTCCAACTACTTTCACATGGCATATATTCACTTAAGTCCAGATTGGTCAAAATTGGAGTGTTTCAAAATGTTTTCATTCCTGTCTCTATAAATGAGCTGGATAGTTGCGTGCTCTTGAACAGACCTAACTAAGAACTTATGTGGGTGAATAGATCTTCGACCACAATCATCTTTATAAAAACAGTGCATAAAACATTTTTGAATGTTTGGATTCAATATTTGGAGTGTGCTACTAAATTAAATTAGTGCTTCAAATTTCTTTGGGGCAATTTTCTTAGTCTTAGGTGAAATTAGAGGTAGAAGGTTCAGTAGCTATAAAAGATAAATAGACATTAAATGCAAGACTGAAATGCTGAGAAGGCCAGAAATTATACTTCCTATATGCCTGGGAGTCAATATGTATTCCCATATCTTTCCAGATCATTGCCATTCAGTTTTATGAGCACCATAAGTAAATAGAAAAAAACCCTTTGAATTAAAGATTGCCCATATTTTCTGTGATGCAATCGTGTATCCAAGTGCCCTTTAATCAGTGTTTCTTTCATTTTTTTTTTCAAAATAAGCATTTATAGAGACAGCAAAAATCTTAATCTATAAAAAGAAAAAGAATGAAATTGGATTTGTAGAAATGTCTTTGTTATACTCATTTTGAAAATTGAAGTTGCTGGATAGAATAATAACAGGCTTCAGTTGACATTCAATTGTGTTTTTATTGCATTGCATAACTATACGTAATACAGCCATGATTGCCTTAGTCAATGAGTTACTTCTGACTTCTATTTATTATTGTTCTACTTGGGAAGATGACAATAAATTCATGGAGATTGCTTGTCCCTTTAAAATGAGACATTTGAGAGCATGGACATTGTCCAATACAACCTTCCAGACTGAAAGCATCTGGTGTATGGATTGTAATACAATAAACCTTTTGTTATCACATCATCATTGGGATGAAACTTTAAATTTGTTTGGTTCTTTCTCAGATCTCTGATGGCAGCTTTTTGGATGTTGTGGTAGAACTAATAATTTTACATGTCATTTTATGTTATCTTTCAGGAGCTCTATAGAAAGGATTGCAATTTAGCTGCTCAGCTGCTCCAGTGTAGCAAGAATTACGACAGGGCGCATAAGCTTTCTGAGGTAAGAAATACTGGATGCTCTGATGCAGTGCCTAGGCAAGAAATAGGCAGCAGAGGGAGAAGTAACCAAGGAACCCAAGGGCAAGTCCATGTTCACTAACTATCATCAGAAGGTCACTAAGATATAATGCCTTGACAGTAGCATTCACTTACTGGAATGGAGAAGAGAATCTGGGTGGGGTCCTAAATTGAAACAACTGGATGACAAAATACTAAGAATGGGCGGATATTAACGCAACCATGTTTGTGCCCAATAGCTGCAAGGCCAAGATGCAAGAATGAAGAATGCTCAAGAAGCTCCATGTCTTCTGTACATTATTTTGATTTGCTTATATTGTCATAAACAAACTTCCATGGATTCTAGGCTGCTTATCAATCACAAAAACAATCCAATCACTCAGCTGCACTTCTCTCTTAATTGTGTTATATGGTTAAATGGGATTTTTCTTACCACAAACTCTGCAGAAAAGTATTACTAGAGTAGAGGCTATCCCAGGCTCAACTGCCAAGCTGTAACAGTGAAAATGGTGGGAAATTCAGTATTTTGCCTGCCGCAACAGAATATTTAAGGACATTCTACCCAATAACATACATATCCATTTAACCATATAACACAATTAAGAGAGNAACTAGCAGTCAGCTATAGTAGCCTGCAGTACTGCACTCTAACCACTGCGCCACCTCGGCTCCTAGATTAGGTGACTGAGTGACCACTATGTAGAATCCAGCACAGAGTCTCTCTGGCAGCAACCCTTTCATAGGGAGCTGTCAGACGTCTTAACCAATCACCTTGGAGTATTCCCACCACCACCACCGGATCAGAGGACCTTGGTGAGAACTACCACACTGTCTGCCAGTATGTAACAGCACCAGCGACCGAGAGTCCCTGGGGTGAGAAAGAAACCGGACTGGCATCGAACGTGCCTTTTACAAGAGCCTCGGGAAAATGCAAGGGAGAGGAAATATTTCTTTTTCAAAGCTTTGTCACCTTTCGGGTCTTTTCTGAAGTACCATCACCACCTAAAGTGTAAAAGAAGAACCTAGATCAGTGTTTCTCAACCTTGGCAACTTGAAGATGTCCGAACTTCAACTCCCAGAATTCCCCAGCCAGCGAATGCATTCTGGGAGTGCATGGATTCTGGGAGTTGAAGTCCAGACATCTTCAAGTTGCCAAGGTTGAGAAACACTGACCTAGAGAGAAGTAAATATTTCTCAATAATTCGTAACTGAAAAGACAAAGGGAGAGAAAATGCTTTGGCCTCATGTCTCCCACTGACCACCGGGAAGCTACCGTGAACGATCATATTGGGTTCCTCCAGTCCTAATACCCAGGATTCCCAGCCAGAAGGTGGTGGCTGAGAACGCTGTGCCTTCTGGGGATGAGACCCTGCAGAGACCAAGTGGGGCTCTACCTTGGATGGGGAGATGAAGAAGAAACGTTCCCTTCGTGTCTCGCTTGGTTGAAGGAGCTTGGTGGCCACCACCTTGTCTCTTCGGGCAGAACAAGAAGCCCCCGGACATCCGCCCCCCCTCCAGTGAGGATCTCCCTACATTTTGCCTACTCTGTTCGAGGTCCGTGCACCTCAAAGGGAGCAAAAGACGGGTTCACCCCCTCCCCAAAGGAGAAACAACCCACACCTTCGCTTTTGAGCTTGGAGATCATGGGGGATCCCTCCACCACCTCCCTTCCCTTCCTCATCTCCCCTGGAAAGGGGGCTCTGTCCACCACCCCCCACAGCCCAGGGCTCTTGAGGCAGCCCAGCCCGTGTTGGATGTTGCCAGTCCAGGAGGTTCAGCCCAACCCCAGCCTCACCCCACCCTTCCAGTCTGACCATTGCAATAAGCACACTGGGCGGAGTTCAGCCATTACGCAAGATTGTGGCGTTCCAGCAAACCGCCGCTGGTGTGTCCTTCCTCCTCCTGAGGTTGGCCCTCCTGTCCGGAGGAAGCTCTGTATTGGGAAAGTCCCTCAAACCTGCGGTTAAACGGCCACCAGCCCCTTTCTCTGGCTTTATAGGCTCCCTCTGCCTCGGGCAAGAGACCTCCTTTCCCCCTGAGAGACCATGTGGGCCAAGCTGCTTCTCCTTGGGCTGCTCCTCTCCTTCTCCGCTGAGCTCCATGCCGCCAGCGGTGGGGAGGGTGAGGAAGGGAGCCTGGGACCTCTGAATAGTGAGTAGACCCACAGGAGTAGACCTTGGTGGGAGATGGACCCAAGAAGCTGGCTGGGCTGGGCTGGGGCTATTTTCTCTTCGGGGTTTACAGATTACAGATTAAGAGAGTTGGAAGGGACCTGGGAGGTCATCTAGTCCAACCCCCCCACCCTATAAATTTCTGACCAATGGCAGTTCAGTCTCTATAATACATATAATACAATAGCAG